TTATTTTGATGTTTTGAGCTCTTTTGTGTTTAGAACAATATATACTAATTTTTAACGTATCATATTGAATTTTTGTTCAATAAAAATCTTTCAAATGCAGCTGTAGCTTTTTTTCCCCAAAACTTTGTCTTCAAAATAAGGGTGCATCTTATATTCCGAAAAATACAGTAGATAAATTCCCAATAATCTCTCATTTAGTCCTTGAATCTTACTTAAAACTTCTTACACTATTTTCAACTTACTACTTTTAGAAGTATTATATCATATGCTTTTATTATTGTTTTTGTGTGTATGTTATGACAGTATGTTTGTTACAATAGGAGTTCCAATTTTTGTATTAAAATAATTTTTTCTGAAGCATGGATTGTATGAACACCATTTGGCTAATTTGTATATCTTTATAAATGTAATATTATATTTCATATTTCTCATTTCACTAAATAACTGAATTTGATGTTTCTTTGGTATATTTCTAGATTCAATTTTATTGTATGAGAAAAATCGACCTTTGCAGGGAGGGAGTAGTTGTTCATATGCTCATATGATGGGTAAAATCCTAGAACCACTGGCTGGAATCCAATTTTCTTGCAACTTACATTATGTATAATAGTGTTTTCACAAATTAAATTTCTATTTGTTTTTTCCTTTCTGAACTACATAGTAATGGTAGTTCAAAAAGATATAATATAGAAATGATACCTATGGAAACCCATTCTTATAAATTTTGTTAGCATTCTGTGTCTAAATTCAAGTATGTAAAGGTGTTCAAATATCACTGTCATGATGGCTGTCATAAGGTGGGGTGTTTGAACTCAACTCATTCTTACAGTTTTCAAATCATGAAAAATTATTTTAACAAGCTCATTAGCATTTTTTTACAACTGCAAGGGAAGTGGCAAAAGTATTATATGTAGCAATCAATGATTATGGGTGTGGGGGGGGGGAAGAGTTATTAAGCGTGAGTATGAAATCCCAAAAGAACTGTAATCATTGTGAAAAGTGCCTTGTTTTAGCTCTGAAACAAACAAAGAAAAACAATTAAATTAATTTGTATTTTCTATTTAAGGCAAATTTTGAAGATTTGTTCAAACATTATGAAGAGGATGCAACATTCCAGTATTTCAAGAGCTTTAAAAGAGCTAGAGTGAACTTTCAGAGCCCAGCATCAGCTGCACAGGCAAGAATTCATTGTCATCAGTATCAAATCGGAGAAAACTTTATTAACTGCTACTTTGCTCAGGTATTTGTCAAAAGTAATGTTAGAGTATAGAAGTATTACTACTTTCTTTGTGAATAATTGCAGTTTTATTCAAAAGTGTAGGAGTGAGCCTAAACTTTTATTCTTCATAAAGACCCATATGAAATCACAAATTGTGTTCAAATAATTAATTTCAAAAAATGTGTATCTTAAATGTTTATGTATCTGGATTTTCATTTTGTCTGAAATTTAAAAAAGCTTTTTGTACATTCAGCTCGTAACTGAATTTTTAGTTAATTAACTCTTTCAAATTACTTCTTAGAGTAGAGAGTATAATAACTAAACCTTACTGCTTCAGCTACTTTCACTCAGCTCTAAATAACCAACACTATGTGCTGTAATTATAAAGTTGTAAATAACCAACAATATGTGCTGTAATTATAAAGTTGTAAATAACCAACAATATGTGCTGTAATTATAAAGTTGTAAATAACCAACAATATGTGCTGTAATTATAAAGTTGTAAATAACCAACAATATGTGCTGTAATTATAAAGTTGTAAATAACCAACAATATGTGCTGTAATTATAAAGTTGTAAATAACCAACACTATGTGCTGTAATTATAAAGTTGTAAATAACCAACAGTATGTGCTGTAATTATAAAGTTCTAAATAACCAACAGTATGTGCTGTAATTATAAAGTTGTAAATAACCAACAGTATGTGCTGTAATTATAAAGTTGTAAATAACCAACAGTATGTGCTGTAATTATAAAGTTGTAAATAACCAACAGTATGTGCTGTAATTATAAAGTTCTAAATAACCAACAGTATGTGCTGTAATTATAAAGTTCTAAATAACCAACAGTATGTGCTGTAATTATAAAGTTCTAAATAACCAACAGTATGTGCTGTAATTATAAGGTTGTCAACAACTAACAATATGTGCTGTAATTATAAGGTTGTCAACAACTAACAATATGTGCTGTAATTATAAGGTTGTAAATAACCAACACTGTGTGCTGTAATTATAAAGGTTGTAAATAACCAACACTGTGTGCTGTAATTATAAAGGTTATTTTGAAATAAAAATTTTGAAGGGATAAAAACAAAAAATAGCTTACTTTCGATATTAGTTTTTATTCAATTTTATGCCAAAAGTTATTTTAAATTTTACAATGTGCATTACATTTGTGTTGTTATTATTCTGGGTATTCTGTGCTTTTGCCATTTCAGTTGAATAAATTTGTAACTTTTTTACATCAGCAAAGTAGCAGTAAAGAAACTGACCCATCAGATATACATTTACAACCTCCAACCCCAGAGAAACAGTTCCTGATTTCACCACCTGCATCACCTCCTGTTGGTTGGGCACCAGTTGATGAAGCTCATCCTACCATTAACTATGACATACTCTCTGCCATTGCTGATCTGACACCAGGTATAATAACTCAAGTTTAACTCTTTGTGTTTACAAATGTATTTTTGTTGTATGAAACTCAAGGGCTAGCTTGAAAGCAGATACAATCTGAATATAAAAATTATTTGAAATATACAATATACATAAATTTTTAAACATTGTAACATTTATCTAGATACATGTAATGTGACTGATAAAAATAGCATAAAGAACTACAAAGAACAAACTTATATTCAAAATTGTTGTAAAGCTATAAAAATTTAAATTAACTATTGTAGCTTTGAATAAATGGTAAAAATGGTTTATAATGAGTTCAATTTAATTTTTATACCAGTTTGAAAATCTTACTGGTTTTATTTGCATGGGTTATAAAAAAATTTTTTTTATAACTACTAGTTTCTCAATTTTGTTCATAATACAAAAGAACAAGTAAGACAACAAGCTATATATTGAATGTTTGAAGTGTCTTAATTAAGTAACTTGTTAAATGAGGAATAATACTTTCAGGAGGTGTTCATGAACTCCATCCTCCATCTAGCTCTCAACCTGGAATAGTTGTTCATGTCTGTGAAAAGGAGGAAGACCATACCCGACCCAAACTAAAGATTGTTCAGACACGATGTCCAGAAAGGGTTCCCTCTCTTGAGGAGTTGGATAGCCCATCTCCTCCTAACTCTGCTGATTAAGAAATTAAAACACATTTTGTATTAGACCAGATTATGGTTCAGTGACTATTTCAAAGTTAGCAAGTTTCCAACTCTCAGTTATACAATCAAACTTGAAAATGTGTTATATTACATGGATAAAGTCTGTGTAATGAATAAATATAATCATCATTAAGAAATGTACTTACTTGAAAGAGAAAACTAAATTAAATGATTAACTAAAGTTTAATTTTCAGATTTTATAAAGTGTTAGTATATATTGTAATTTGAAATTCCAAACAAGTATGACTATAGATATCAGAATTTATTGCTATTAAATGTAAAGAAATTAGTCCTTAGATTTCAAGCTTGAGTGAACTGTTACTAACCTTCAATTATTGGATCACACCTCCTATACCCCAGCATAACATGAAAATGTTAAAAGGTATCACAACTGATGTTTATCTTTAACACATTGTTTTGCAGAGAATTAACACTTACTGAGAAATTTACCTTGATAACTATGTCAATTGTTTATCATTTCTTTCTTCTGTTTTTTTTCTGAACATGAAGTATTATAAAACGTTTTTGGTGAAATAAATAAAGTGCTTGCTATATATATATATTGTATAGTGTGATTAGATGTATTTAAACTTATTTTGAAGATGTTTTATATGTGATAGAAAATTAGCTGTGTTTTCAGTTACTTATTGAAGAAATTGCAAAATGGAATGTTTGAACATATACAAGGTTTTTGAAACAGCTCTTGGTGGGAATATTATAATTTTTGTCTCTAAAAGTGAGACACAATCACATACACTATTGATGATATCTTGTAATTAAAAAATAAACATAACATTCCCACTAAAAGCTGTTTCAAGAACTGTGTGTATATATATATGTGTGTGTTTGTGTTCAATAAGTTAGTTGGTATCTATTAAAATGAAAATGATTTTAAGTATCAGAACAAACCTGAATATCATGAAGAAAGAAACATGTTTACTTTTCAGGAGAGAAGATAAAAAATGTGTTCCAGTTTTCAGAAATATGGGTTTATGCTGAAAGTTTAACTTTAATTATATTTTTTGATCTGGTAAGTATAGAGAAATTTTGATGATCATATTTATGCATAAACAAAGCAAAATATACTTTATTTTGATGACTAAAGCTTATTGCTGTTATAAGTCACTGAATATAGTTATTTTGAAAAGTTGTAAAACACTTACATTTAAAGAATAGTTTTCTCAATCTTACTGTGGAAATAAATGAATTTTTTTATCAGTTCTGTTTTTTAATAAATGCTGTACTTGATTCCAAGAAAAATGTAGAAATTTTCTGTTATTGCATAATTTTTAAACCTACTAACAAATATCTTAAATGTTATACCATATTAATTTATAGATGAAGCTGTTTTATCTTATTTATAAATTTTAGGTATGTTAAGTTATATAATTAAACTGTTATTAAGATAAAAGTATTTGTACATTGTAATAAACCAGCTTTTATATTCCAGTTAGCTGTCCTATATTGAAGACAATCAGTCTTTCTAGAAACTAATAATTTTTCACTTTGCTTTATCTGTAACTCATAATTTACATTGTTCAATCTTGGGAATAATGTGACTTTGTAACTGTATAATTAAAATTATTCTAAAATTATCATAAATACTGATGCAGTCTACAAAACTTAAGTACCATTAATTTGATTTATAGTTTTGTAGAAAATTCTTGATACAGAAGTTTTAAGTGTCTCTCTCTGCAAATATGTGTGGTTAGTTCATATTCAGTGTAATATATATCTGTTAATCTGTGTTTGCCCCTGAAATTTTAGTTGGTTGCAGGCAAATACTATAAGTAAAGTGTAATCATTTTTCACTCTACTTTTTCAAGTTGAATTTAGCACACGTTTCTTGATGCGCATTGATGAGTACATTTTAGTGAATTACATTTTATTAAAACATCAAAATATATAAAAAGAAACTTAATAAATTGTGACTGGTTAATAATAACAACATCACAAATATCATTTAAAACATAAAGTTTTATAACTAAGTAAAAATTCTTTTATAATTGGTCAAGCAAAATTGTTATCACAGTAAGACTGATAATATTTAAGTCACACCATGTATTTTGTTTACTTGATTGATTGTGATAAATACTAAGTGATTGGGATGGGGGCTACTGATACGAATTATTTTTTTCCATATCTATGTTTTATGTATTATTTGTTGATACATTGTGTACTGTAATGCAAGTAATGTATTGTTCTCATCTTGGAATGTTAAAATTTTATTCAGCATGTCTCACTCATTTTTTTTTTTTTTTCATTTTAATATAGAGTGGTTAAACTACAGTACGTGGTAGAATTGTTTGTGAAGTATAAGCATCTGAGAAAGCAGTGGTTAAAATTCTATATTTTTGTTCTATGTATAAATATATGAGAAGGTTTTAAGAAATGTAAATGTTACATGAGTATGAATGCTAATAAACTATAACATTATATTATTGTGTCTTTGCATCTGTTTACAATAAATTTTCTGATATAGTTATTAAACCACAAGCATCACAATCCAAATATATTTTTTAAAAATCGTGAATTTTAAAGTACTTCAATAATTTTTTAATCTCTTACTTGATATACAACTATAAACTATTGTATTGACTCACCTATACCATGTTTGACAGTGAATGTTATTTGATAATAGCTCATCTACTACAATATAAACAAATGGGATTTAAATACTGTCTAATCTGAACCTTAAGATAATAACTCTTTTAAACTTTTCCCTCAGCCTTGTTTTGAACTCAACTGTACATTACAACATATGGCAAAACAATACTGACATTCTGGATTTTTAAATTTTCTAAGTCACAAAGATGTTCACTTGGTTTAAAAACCTGTTATTCCATCTATTAATCTGGTAGGGTATGCATTTAATTTGAGAAGTTTTTTTTTGTCCTCTCTAATTGATAATGGAACAATTCTAAAGTATCTGAGGAATTATAAGCCTGTTTCACTGAGACTATTATAGAATATCATTAGAAAATGTATCAGTATAAAACTAACCAGGTATGCATATAGTCCATTGTAGAATGGTTTGTGATACTAGCTACAACAAAATTTACCATTTAGATTAGTTGCATATGTATCTGAAAAAGGTAATTTTAACCCATTCTCTTACTCCACTTTGAATCTAATACTACAAGTGAAGAAAAAAACTTATCAAAAAATGAAGTAAATGTAGGGATGGCTAATATCAATCCTTCAAAACAATGGAAATGGGAGTACACGCATGTATCTAGTTCTCAGTTTGCATTTTTCCCCACATTGTTCAAGTTTAGTACTACTGAACATGTTTTTTAATCCTATCATCACGGGTGAAAGGCCATGTCATCATGTTTGTTGACTTGCATTCAAAATTTTATTGAACAACTATTTCATTAATGTATGTCAATAAGTTTGGTATCAAACTGTAGATTATAATTCATTAATGTACGTCAATAAGTTTGGTATCAAACTGTAGATTATAATTCATTAATGTATGTCAATAAGTTTGGTATCAAACTGTAGATTATAATTCAATTTTAGTTTA